GGTATGTGAAAACATAGCAGAGTGCAAAGTTGTCCTCCATTTTGTTTATGTCATGGACGGTTTTCGACGTTATGCGCATGCGCGAGTGCAAAATCTGACGAGGTAAATTGCTGTTCATTTTGAAAGGACGTATTTTGCTGTTTTACAAGCAACTTTTTGTTTTAAATTTCGTTAAAAAGTTTAAGAAAGTACAACACTTTTTTTCCTCGATTTTAACTGGAAATAAGCCTGCAGTTTCATGAATTAGTGACTGTTCAACCGTGAAACAAAGTTTGTATAATAATTGTTTTGATGTTGATATCTTTGATAATTTAATCGTTGTTGACTTGTTGTGCCGATTTGGGTAAGTGTAAACATTTCAGTAGTAAAATGCCATGCTGTACTTGCTTTGTGTTGTCGGTTTTATTCATATCTGCGAAATTTTTAAGCCATTCTTAACTCGATAATTCACTTTAATGCAAGCTGGTATACATGAAATTGCAGTGAATGTTATCGTTCATTATAAACTCAGGCCGGTCAATGTCTGACTCTTGTTGGCTCTGCCCACGCTGACTTGATATGTCCGCGCGAGTTGCGCGCGCGATTGAACATATCCAGCGTGTTGTCGTTTGACTGCGTTTTGCCGTTCGAATGAAACTGAAATTTAATAACTATGAGCTGTTGGATTATTTTATATTATGTTAGATTATAGCAACCAGCAGGGATGAGTAAATTATCAGTTTTTCTTGTACAATTGGCCGTTGTATAGTATAATATATCATATTATGCGATATGCGGCGACCTTTGAACTTTGATATATAACGCTATTGCGGGATTTTATTTATTTATTTATTTATTTATTTATTTAACTTTGCCAATAAACATTAAAACACAGAAAAAACATATATGGACAATGGCAGGGAACACGCTACAGCTTACGCCAATTTCAGCGGCCCTTACATATAAGATACGACATCACAAACATTAAACAATTGTCTAATAACAACACGATACTTCACAGGACAGATTACGGGACTTGTTACAGGACAAACATATTGATTTCCATGTTCTTGGATCATCCACGTCGTAGACAGTTTGTAATGCTACTTTATAGTACATGAAAAGTCCATTTTTTAACTGACTAAGGCTGGTGTTATTGCCTGTCAAGTTCTTTGGCAGTACATTCCACATTCTGGTACATCTATTTTATGTCTCAATTATTCAACATCGATTTGTGATTCCTCTTTAGTTTCCCACTCACAGAAAAATATTTGAAATACAAATAAGTACTCAGCATATGGATGGTTCAAACTTTTTGGGGTGGTGTTGTTTAAGTGTGACATATTTCTCTTAGAAACTTAAGGACGCAATAAATGTTGTTGTTGAAATATAATATCCTTTCATATAAAGACTCAGACTCCTGTCGAATATTCTCTCAATATATAAACGAAAATATGTACTTATCATATTGTACTTCTGTACACATTTTTCTCTCGGTTCCTCGCATATTATTTGAATACACGACTTACTAGTTGTAAATGGTTTATCAGTCATTGTGTATTTCAGTATTTGTATTTCGTAATATTTTGTTTCACGGCAGGGGCTTATATTAATGATAATGGCGAGCGCGAATTCATCACGCAAAAAACGCGTTGGACTTGCCGACTTACAAGACAACGTTAATGTCGGTCGCTAATACGTAGATTTTGTCCAGAGTACAGCCAACTTTGGTCCTACTATTAGATTTGTAAGCATTGTGATCTGGAACGATCGTTTTAGTGCAAATTATATTGACATTGTGCGAGACATTGTTGTAATCACAGCAATATTTTCATATCAGTGGCATAATCTTTAAGTTCCGAATTACCACATTGCAGTATAAGAGTGAAAGGTTCCGTGATAATATTTTTGTACATATCCATGAATGTTTAGTAAGTCGGCAAGCCGTGTTTATAAACATTAAGTTAATTTCCATTATCACCGCCTATATCTTGTCACGTGACCAGTTTCCATGGAAACCAAATAGTTAAAAAATATCGGCAGTTGATTTTCAACATCTCACCCAAAAATAAGAGTCGTAGTGTATTTTGTTAATTTTTAATTAATTTTTAAAGATTTTCTATTTTCCCACTCCTTACGAAATTGGAGCCAGGCATTAATGCACCTGAGAAGCTAGCACATCACGGCATCAATTGTGTTTTTATGTTTGTTTATAATGGTCTTAATACTTTATGTTGGGTTTTTATACTTCATCTGTTAAGAAAGGCGAGGGGTTGCTGCATGCATGTATTTTCTAGTTAATACACAGTGTAATAATTTTTAACCCTATTTGTACCGGGGGTGCGCACAATGAGCTCACCCAAATAAATATTTATCCGTCATTCATGAACAAATGAATCCATTTGATTTTCTGAAAATTCAAAGTTATCTGGACGTTTGACGACATTTGTCAAACAAGGTGTCTGGGCCAAAATTGGGAAAATGTGGATTGGACAGTATTTTTTGGTATATTAGTACAGTATATTAATTAGAGAACATATAAAGATGGATTATTACACATGATTTGCAAAGTAAAATATCTATATATTATATAAAATAGTAAAATATAGTATATTAAATATCAGAGATTAAATATATAATATATTATATTATAAAATACTTATATAAAATACTTATTTATAATATTTTTAAATATACAAATACACATATTTCTTTGTACCTTCAAGGTTGAGCAAACACCACCAAAGATTTAGGAACCATAATATATTGCAGAATATGAAACCAATTTAGTATAAATATTTATAAATATTGTGTTTTCAAAACTATACTGCAGGCTCGTAGCCCACCTGTGTTACACTTCATGTAACACATAGACTACATAGTATATTGCCAATATTGGCCTGGTTATAAACATGGTCGCCATTTCATATTTTTCTACAAACTTTTCTTGATCGACTTCATTCAGTTCATTGTTTATTCGGTTTATACTGAAGAAGTTATGCCACCAAAAAGAGCTAGAGTTTCAGCAGAATGCGCAATTGCAAATATTATGCGATTTATGGAATATAAATATGACAACAATGACAGTGTCACAGTGATGATGGAGAAATCACTCAATCAGTGATGTTGAAAATGATTTGGATTGTTTATATGGGGAGACAGGTCAGTTTCAGTTGTATGTCTTTTCATATGGTACAGAAATGCCAGCTTGTAAAGAAAAATGGTGGTGTTTATGGACATCTGAGGTATGCCATAACATAAAAGTATGTCTATTGAATGTAAAAGAACTAAAAATATCACATCCAAAATGTTGTTTTTTATCTCTTTACATAAAATAACCAAAATTGGTAAAATATAGCAATATTCGCCATTTTTTGACAGGCAGCCGTATTTAATGGGGCCAAAAAACAGCATTTTGGATTTGAATTTTACTTTTTTGTTATTTTTAAGTTAAAGAAAGATAAAACTTACTAAAAATAAAACTGTTAGGATAATGGCAATTACTCAACAGAATTTTTTAGCCCAATCAGCACACCCCAGGTCATATCAACATGAATAAATCCCGGTAAGTTTATCGTTTTATGATGGGGTATGAAACACTGAGACCGTTATCTTGATGGGGTACCAAATATTATCTGACAAGTTTGTTGGGGTACGAAATTTTTTTCACAAAATTAAAAATATCCTCCGCCCCGGGGTAGCACTTACTTTATGACCGCTCCCTTAGTATGTCAGCGGTAAATATTTTTTCTCAAAAGTGCAACGGTATCAGGTTTCCAATCTATTGCAGCTACTGAGTATTATGACACATCTACTGGAATAAATAATGGTAATTGAACTGAGTGGAGTGCAATTTGGACTGAAATCAAACGCGTGATTAAGAATAAGAGACAACGCAAGTAAGTTTAAACATATTGTAGGTCTTGCGAGTGATTGAAAGAGTTTTGGTGCAGTTTTGTACGTTTAAAATTGGAAATACGATAGGCGAATTTACCTTTATTCGACGATTACGAATACGTTCGTGCTGAAATCGCACACCTGTGAACCAATCAGATTGCAGGAAACACCATTGATTACAAAATGAATATAATAAAGAATAAAATCTTTGGGCAGTAGATGCACCAGTCGAAGACACCGTCACACTATGGACTTCAATTTGTCGTTTATTACAATAAATATTATGAAATGCTTAACAGCAGGTCAAGCCATATATTCACAGCCCATAAATTCAGGATAATGAATAATTTATGATGAAAGTTGTTCGGATATTCGAGGATTTAGTCGCACAACTCCTAATATACGAAAGTAGCCATTTTCCGGGCACCCTAAAATGGCCGACAAGCTGCAACCAAGCGCGCAAGGCATTACTCTGAGAGTCATTCTTTAACGATCTTGCATTAAAACCATCCTCGTTCCCAGGGCTTCTCGGCTGCCTGCGTTGCCGTAAGCCCTAACCAGTGAACTCAAAAGACCTGGAACGATAACTCGGCCGCTATCTTTGAAGCCAAATTGAAGGCCGCCATTGCACGTCAGGCCTGGAAAATACACCCCATTTCCGCCGGATGTTTTCTCATACTTCAAAGTCACAATCAAACAAAAACAAAGTTTAAAAAGCTTCAATCTCACCTGCTCTTTTATAAAAAAAACATTTTCGAGGATACAAATCAACTTTAAGCATCTTTTTTAAGGAGTTAAATGTTGAAGTTTTGTTCGGCGCGTTTAAACTTGTGCAATATTTACAATATGAAACTGACACCTCAGAAGTTTCCCCCCTAAATGGACGTAAAACACTAAAAACTATCCGTGTATATGTTTTAAAGCTTTAGGTTTAATTCTATCTAACGAAAAATATCGATTTTCTACCTATTTTTGGGAAAAAGCCGAGTCCAAAGTGAATTTTACTAGACCCAGTCCTTTCTCTGGAAATTCAGAGTGTCAACAAATGCGAAATATTTGCGAAAATATATAAAAAAAACACGTTAAAAAATTGGATTTTTTTTACTTGGTGCTGAGATATAAACATGCCTTTTGCTTGTATACTTTTGTGCTGTAACAGCAAGCAAAAACCAGTTAAAAAGAAGACAAAAAACACAACCAACACTGGAAAAAAGATTGCATTTCACAGGTGAGGCGTTCAGGATATTTGAAAATAACAACAACAGATTTAATCCTATCACATTGTAAAAATAAACATAAATACACATATAAAATATTAAATAAATACTTTTAAGTCACATAATTTGAGAATAAATTGTCACATATTTGTGCAATTAAGCAATTGTATTTAATTAAATTTTATATAAACATTACTGTTTACAGCTGCTACACTATGGTATGTACAGTACAAGGCTATGAAGTACTAAGGCCAACTACTAATTAATTTTAAAGTAGAGACTAGCATCAGCTAAGGATCTAATTAAATACAGATATAAAGTAAGCATATACGTATGACATACACTCATGCATTGTAATTTACACTGCATTTATTTAGATTCCCTCTAAATAACCCAAAAGTTCTTGGAAAGTGGGAGAAAGCAGTCTGCGAAGTAAACAACTCCCCTGATTGGAAAGCAACACGATATACATACATCTGCAGCAAGCACTTCCCACAATCCGATTACATTATTCCTCCTTCTGAAAATGAAAGCTGCAGGTTGAAATTCACAGCTGTACCCACTATATTCAATTCGTCAAGTAACCCAGTCTATGGCATCCCTAACAAATTAAGAAAAAAGATAGAATATCCATGTAATCTAGAGGTGTTGACAACCGTATCATCTCTTGATATTGTCAGCCATGGCCATACCTACTGCAAAAAAGCCAACACCATAGAAGATTTGGAAGAAGACCAAGATAGGAAAACCCTAGAGGATAAACTAAAAATAAAAATAAAAGGCTTGCAGCAACAATTAAGACGAACTAAAGCCAGAAAACAGACCATGGGAGATATTATACAAGAGCTACAACAAAAGCTTCTTATCTGTCAAGATGATGCAGAACTACTTTCGGCAAAATTTGATGGGGTGCAACTTGCCATTTTCAGAGACACAAAAAATAATGTTAGCTGTGATCCTTGTGGGAGGAGATATGTAGACGTTGTCAAAGAATTCGCAACAACATCAAATTACTACTCACCAAAAGCATACGAATATGTAAGGTCAATAATTCCATTACCACATCCATCACTTATTAGAAAGTGGTCAAGTGTTGTTGAGTGCAATCCAGGATTCTTTAAAGAGTCATTTAAATCCCTAAAAAAGGAAGCATTGCTCAGTCCTGAAAAGAAAACTGTTGTCTTATAATTGATGGGATGGCAATTAGTAAGCAAACTCTACACAGCCAGAAATCTCACAGGCCTGTCGCAAGCTGTTGATTTTACCGGCTTGCGGCAAGTTGTCAACAAGTCGCGACAGGTCTGTTGGTTTCGTCAGGCGGTAACAGGCTTGCGGTAACAGGTCTGTCGCAAGCTGTTGACAACAGAGCCGTAGCGACTTGTTGAAACAACCCGCTACAAGCCTGTTACTAACAAGAGATAACAGGTCTGATAGAAGAACTTGCAGCAGGTCTGTTGAAATCAACAGGTCTGTTACAACCTGTTCCAACAGACCTGTCGCGAGTTGTTTTTGTCAAGTCTGCAGCAAGCTTGTTATCAGACCTGCGACAAACCTGTCCACAACAAACAATTTTTGTCCTGTCACAACAAGTTTCAACAAGCCTGTTGTTGGGAAACAGACCGAAAATGTGAGTAAAGAGATAAATCGCACGAAATGGACACTTCCGGCTTCACTTTCTCATTTAATCATTGTCATTGGTGGCAATTTAAATCACATAGGAGAGATTATAGTCCATAGTATCTATTCTCTGATTAAATGCAAAAGCCGCTGTTTTATTTTTTTTTAAAAAGTTCCGATTTCCAAAATCCAAATTCCAATTTGCTGACGTGTTCTATCGCTATATTTCTTTAATCTGATTGGATAAACGCGTGTGCACACGTCATCATTCCTCGTTGCAATTGGGCGAAATATTACAAACATATCAGTCACGTAATCATGTTTATAGTTGTTTTTCAATTTTGAGCCAAACAAAATTTCAACAACTGCCTCAAACAAAATCAAACAAGTTCAAAGTTGTTTTGATTTTTGAAGAAACTGTGGCAATGAGAATACAAGATCTAGAGCTTAAGAAAGGACTATACAATACATTAACAACCAAGTGTTCACTGCAACGTTCGTCATTGTTGATATGAACATGAAATTCGTTATATAATTTCTTTCCAATTTCAAGTGAAATCTGCGAGCGAGGAAGACGCCTTATTGAAGCTTTGTGTTATGGTATGTACTGTTTTGAAGAAAAATATGCAAGTAGGTTGTCATATTTCGGTCGTAATTAAAGACAATTAATTTTGAAAATTGTTTACAATAAGAACCTTTCTTGAATTTGTCGTATTTTTTCGGCTGTTTTGCTCAAAAATTATCTCCCAAGTTTGTTTATAAAACTTTATATTTCAAACTTCTATTTCACGAAACACTACAACCGAAATATGGCAACCTGTTTGGCCGTTTTTTGTTCAAAATAGTGGATACACAAGCTTCATAAGGCGCTTTCCTCGGTTTGCAACAGGTCTGTCGCAAGTTGTTGAAAACAGCATTGCTGCAGCTCTGTCACAACAGCTTGTAACAGACCTGTTGAAAACAGCATTGCAGCAGCTCTGTCACAACAGCTTGAAACAGACCTGTTGACAGGCCGTTGCAAGTCTGTCAGAACAGACAGGTACAGGTACGGCTTGTTGACAACAGGATTTAACAGATCTGTTGCAGATCTGTTCCGACTTGCGCGTTTCTGGCTGTGTATGGGACTCTAAAAATGATAAGTACGTGGGGTTTGTAGACTATGGACATATACCTACCAGTAAACCAGATCAATATGCATTGGAAGCACTAGTAGTTGTTCTTGGGGGGCAGAAGTAATTGTAAATGTCCTATTGGATATTTTCTCACTGACGAAATGACTGGAAAAATGCAAGCCAAGTTGGTTCAGGAAGCACTCATTATGGCAGCTGAAGCTGGATTACGTGTCTATTCTGTAACAGCAGATGGTACTTCTGTCAATTTCACCATGTTCAGTGAACTTGGCTGCAAGTTTACAACATCATATGAAAGCATGATTACCAAGTTTAAACACCCTACTCAAAACTACTTTGTATATGCAATTTTGGACCCATGTCACATGCTTAAATTGGCAAGGAATGCTTTGGGTCACTTAGGCTCTATCGTTGACTGTGAAAACAATATTATTACATGGAAATTATTTTCATCACTCAATAAAATCCAAGAGTGTGAAGGTTTCAAATTAGCAAACAAGTTTTCATCAAGACATCTCCAGTTTTTGATGCACAAAATGAATGTCCAACTAGCAGCCCAAACCCTTAGCTCATCTGTAGCAGATGCTATTGAATTTTTAGATAAATCAATGAAACTTAAAGAATTTCAAAACTCAATCGGCACTGTTAAATTTATCAGAATAGTGGATAGATTATTTGACATTCTAAACTCTCGAAACCCAATTGCAAAAGGATTTAAACAACCACTGCGTCCTCAATCGAGAAACACATGGGAAGAAATCTTGAAGCATTCTGCTGAGTATTTGCTCAGTTTAAAAACACATGACAGTACCAACCAATTGTTGGTCACACATCAAAGAAAAACATTCATTACTGGCTTTGTCACAACTATTAAATCGACAATTGATATGACAACAGCAATGTTCAGTGGTGAAAATGCTTTCAAATATCTGCTTACTTACAGGTTCTCACAGGATCACATTGAACTCTTATTTTCGTGTATAAGAGCACGGGGTGGCTGGAACAATAATCCGAACTGCCTACAACTGAAGTATGCAATGAGGAAAATGCTGTTGAGGAACACAATCACAGCCTCAAAAAATGCCAACTGCCTGACATTTTCTGATTCCACAACAACAATTATCCCATTCTTTCACTCCCAGAAACACAAAGCACCTTTAAAAGAAACTCCAACAGATAACCTGGACGAACCTGAAAGCAGTCCTGAAGAGGACCTACTCTGCAGTCACTTAAATTCACCCGGTACATCCGAATTTCTGTCCAACATCCTGTTTTACATCAGTGGTTACATTGTTTTCAAACTGGTCAAAAAACTATCTTGTGAGTTATGCAAGCGATGTCTACTTTCTCACTTCAACTCTGAAACTTCATACCATGATTACTGTGCTATGAATTACAGTCAAATTGCACCTGCATCAACATTCACATTATTTGTGAACAATGGTGGCCTAAAAATACCGTCACAGTCTGTTTACAACATTATTGAATTTGCTGAAAAATTATTTAAAGTAAATGTTTAATTTTGCAAAGATGGCCTCAAAATTTCACGAGAAAACAAGTTAAAGCAGAAGCTGGTTCTGAGTGTGTGCAACCATTTTGTAATGGATTCAACCCACCAAATTTTCCAAGATCACGATCAGGGATCGCAAGACAATTCACTTGAAGAAAATCACCGGTCATCCCTTATCAAGTTAACGGCAGAAAGTTACTTTACCTTGAGACTCTTCACTTACGGCAAACGATACAACGACAAGGTGGTTAATGGACAGCCAAGCGTCAGGCACCAGCTAACGAAGATGATCCTGTTTAAAAATCAATAAAGTTAAACGTGAATCGTTTTATTATCAGTTGTATAATTCATAAATATTTGTAATTTCAATTAAAGTATTACCCTTTTGTCCAAAACCTTGAATGTTGGATAACGATAAATATATTCCAAAATATATTTCAAAAGCACGTTATATTTTACTTCTGTTCCGATCGTCTTCATTTTGCCATCAACACACAATCCAAACAGCTTTTATTTATCTCGGCTTTCGGCTTTAGTTTTGCTTTACATTTGGCAAGGTAAGTAGGTTTTATGCAAGTAAAGTTTAACGAAAAAATACTTTGCAAAACCGCCATAACAACCACGCCGTAGACAAATCGAATGTGTGCTCGCATCCTTCGTCGCACGGTCGCTTTATTTATATGCCTGATCGCAGGTTACTGGAAAACATAGATTTTTCACGTTTTACAGCGGCTAAGGGATAGATTAAAAGTTCAAAATCGACTTCATTATATGGGCTTCAGTATTAAACAAGTTTTAATCTCGCCGAAATATTCTAAAGTATTTTTTTCGTTGTTGAAAGGTGAAGTTTTCATGGGCACGTTCAAATATTTATCATTTTTAACAAATAACAATACAAAAATGTTTGCCCCTCAAAGTTTTGCTTCAACTAAGTGCAAGCAAGTTAGAACTATCCAAAAAAACAGGTTTGGATATTTTAACTTGAAGTCTTTTGATGAAAAAAGGATTTTTCTTGCTAATTTTCGCTCAAAAAACGTTTTGACTGAATTTCGCACTCCTCGTAACTCACCCTAGTCTTTTTGAAAGTGCATTTTCGCCGCGCGGTTCCCGCTTTGAGCTTCAAATTGGCTTCAACCAATCATAGCACTTGAACATAGGAGTTATCGTTCCAGGTCTTTTGAGTTCACTGGCCCTAACAGGTAGGCAATTAGTCTGAGCATGCGCGCAGAAAATCAATATGGCTACATATATTAACAGATTTATTGAGAAAACAAGCTTACAATTGACATATTACATTAAATTTACATAATAATATAATTATATATATAATGAAGAAAAAGTGATTTTCTATAGAAAGTGAGTCTTGTGCAGTGTCCAAAGTAGCTGGAAGCTTTCGAGTTGGGCACTGCCTACAGTTGTAATAAATTAAAAAAAAATATATGTAAATGTCACAGACCATGTGTCATCCTGGCCTTAGAAAAAGAGATTTTGTAATACTATTGTGAAATTAATAAGATTTGACTATATTTCTTCTTAAATTAAAGTATCGAGTATGAATCTTTAAGACCAGTTTCTATACTTTCCCAAATTTTTGATGAAGTGAATGCGAACGTTTGAATTCCATAATTAGTTTTTACCTTTGGTCTAATAATTTTATAGTTCCACAAACAAAAACAATTAATATTATAGTTAAGAAAAATATAAAAAAAAAAAATTAAAAAAAAATATATAAAAATATTTGTTACTAACAAATCTCGTATAGTGTGAATGACGGGATGATGCGGCAACAATGATATCAGAGAGTATTGTAGGTACTTTTTCATTCATATTTTAATATTATTAAAATAATCTTAAAGGTGAAAACAGCTATTTTTAGTTTAAAAACATGATCAATTTTAAGTATACCCAGTAGGTTGTAGTATGCTGAGGCATCTTCATGATTCCCTATAAAAAATATTTTCCTTATACATTTATTTTGGCACGATTTTAACTTTTTTAATTTTGTAGCACACGTATTACCCCAACTCATTAACCCATAATTAATATACGGAAAAATTAAACTATAATAAACCTGCTTTAGCATATTCAGATCAATACAGTACCTAAGTTTACAAATTATTCCCGTGTTTTTTACTATTTTATTGTAGACGTGACTAATTTGTTGTTGCCAACTCAAATTTTGATCGATATAGATACCTAAGTATTTGAAGTAACTTTTCTGTTCAAAATTTCCAATTTTTATGCGGCGTGTTTTTTTTCTACAGGAAGTGATTACCATGAAATTAGTTTTCTTAATATTTATTGATAGTTTATTCACATTGCAATATTGAAGTATGTTTTGTAATTCCTCATTCATTACTTTTTCAATATCATCAATGCTATTACTAGAATAAAATACATTGGTATCATCCGCAAATATTCGAAATGAGAGTTTTTTTGAACAGTTTGGCATATCATTTATATATAATATAAAAAGTAGTGGCCCAAGTGTTGAACCTTGTGGTACTCCACAAGTCAATGTTAATAAATCTGATTCAGTATTTCCTATTTTAACATATTGTTGTCTATTAGATAAATAATCAGTAAACCATGCTAGAGGAGTTCCACGTATTCCGTATTTGCATAGTTTATCAATTAAGATTTGATGATTCACAGTGTCAAATGCTTTGGATAAGTCTAAGAACAAGCCACAAGTTATTTCTCCGTTGTCAATTGCAGACTTGAAGTTTTCGGTTATTTCTAAAATTGCTTGCTCTGTTGAATATGCTTTCCGAAAGCCAAATTGATAATTGGAAATTATCTTTTTCTTAACAAGAAAAGAATTGAGTTGTTCATAAATCAGTCGTTCAAAGGTCTTTGCAAACGGTGATATTACGGATATAGGTCGATAGTTATTTGGATCAGTTTCTACACCGTTTTTAAAAATTGGTGTGACACTTAAATTTTCAAAATGTTAGGGACAACACCCAAACTAAAAGATTCATTATAAATACAACAAAAAATTGGGGCCAAAACATTGGCTGCTAGGAGTGTTTCGTGGGATTTACCTGGTTTTAATTAAAGCTAATAAATCAACATTTTAATGAACGAAAACTTTGTAATATTTAGTGGAAAACATTAAGCTGTGCATTCGAAAGGTTTTAAATTTAAAATAAGTACTTTTGCTGTATTTTATTGCTTTTTATGCTTTGAAAACAGGCAAGCTCATATTTTTTGAAAAAATCTTATCTAATATTTTACCATCATTTGTTTAATCTGAACAGAAATAGATAGAACACTTGGCTATATAAGTTATAAAGGTATTGTTAGCTGATCTGAAAGATTTCAGTATTCCTGGTACACATTTTAACAAAGAATAAAATTAAAATATATGCATATCAAAAACAATGGTTTTTATTAGAACAACACAGAATAAGTTGTTATTTTCTATTTTTACAAGAAACAAGTTTGAAAACAGGTTCTAGTCCTCCAGCTTGATATCATATTCCATTTATTTGGATATTTGAATAAAGGAATGTGAAATAATAATTGAAACTTGTCCAAAGTTTGATACCAATACTCAAGTGAACAGATACTATCACCTAAAAATAAAAGAAAACAGAACTTAAATTTATCATATAATGCTATGAAAAAATCTTAGATACTACAAGCATATAGTGAACACAACTCTTTAACAAACTCACTAAAATAAGTTAAGTTATGCTACGATAAGAGGATGGCAATATATGGCAACATCAAATGGTACCATCTTCAGTGTCCAAAAAAAGTGCCGCGCGCATTTTTCATGGTCGCAAAATTGGCATTGCCACAAACCCAGGTGAAAAAGCAATTAGAAAAACCTGGTTTTGGGTGATGAGCATAGTCAAATTCTTGACTTATTCAATTTTCTAAGTTTTTCCAGGTAAACAGATTCAACATTGAAATAAGCCCCATTCGGGACCTTATAGGGTCCAAAATATTGTGTATGGACCAGATTTTTTTCAATTTTCTGTGATTTACATAACACTAGTTATAATTTAAGGGTCAACCAGTATTGTTCAAGACATATTTTTCTTCCAGAACACCTTTTCAAAATACTAACCCAAGCATGTCAAAAATAGTGTACATTTACAAGGGCACTTTCAACCCTTTGGCACATTTTTCCCATGAATGATTTTAATTCTAATATAAAAACTATAGATAAAAATTTGATTTAAAGCTAGTTTCAAGTGATGAGCATACCCTAAATTTTAAGCTATACCTCAAAGAAGATAGGTCATTTCAACATAAACATTGAAATGTGGGTATACTCGGACAGCTCTATCATACGTGTAGTTTGACATTAGCAGACCTTCGATCTGAAACATTTTAATGAAAGTATAATTCACAAAGTTCACATTTTCACTTACTTCTTAACATCTGTTTTAATCTAACTAGCTCTGTAGGCACGAGCAAAATTTAGTGTTGATGTAAATATCCATTTTGTTCATGTTTCCCCGGTGAAAATATAGTCTATTCCAAAGCTGATTTCGACGTACTGTAGCTTTTCAGAAACCGTTGGCCTTCCTCAGTAAGATTATCAACTGTTTCACAAACATATTTGATAGTAAACAGCTAAAATATTCTCCGAAAGTCAATATTATTGCTCTTCAACGCGAAAATGGCAACTCGAGAAGAAATGAGCCGCTATTTTTGGTCAGCGTCGACAAATTGCCTACCTGTGGTTATATATTCATGTCTCGCTATTTATAATGCTAACCCTAATCCCCACCCTAACCCTAACCGCTAACCCTATTAGGGAGACATGAATCTATATCCCTACCTGTTGTAAAAGCCCTGGGACAAGCCGAGAGTGAAATATGAAAAGTTCATTCATCAAGTGGATGTTTATATTTGGCAATATGGCTGCCTTTGAGGAGTGCGCGTTCGAACCATAGAGATTATAAATAACACTAGAGGAGGCATCGAGTTAAAAAATCGGGAACGCAGCTAATGGGGGGCAAATTCAAGTCCCGGATATAAAATCGTGCT